CATTGATGGTAATAATATATATATAAATATCGCACACACACTGTGTGTCGCTAAACGCTATATAAGTTTGAATTTTTTTCGATAGCAGAAAATTTTTACGAGGTTTTACGCTGCAACAACGAGAGAGCACAATGTTCGTGGCTTCCTACCTCTCCCCCGCGAGAATCACACAATCCCGTGAAAGTGCTGCGTGAAAATCAAACGATCGCAAAGCGCAATGTTCGAGGGTATTGCAAAAGGCTGTAGTGTAGAAGCTGGTACGCTCGGGATTTTTTTTGTTTTGGTTTTTTTGGCGCTCTTTTCTTTTGCGCTCTTTTCTGCTTTTTTTTTTCCTCAATAAATCTCGTTTGTTCGCGATCCTCTGGTGCGCGCGGCCGCGCGTCTACGCGCGCGAGCCTCACTGTCGTGTAGCGTGGTACTTTCTTAGCCTGAACAGTGTGCGGTGTATGGCTTCCCGTTCAACGTGGGTACAGCGGTAAAAATCGATTAGTCAGGGTGCGTGGTGTTGCGTGAACCATTACGTTACGCACCTGGTTCACGCGGTAATGCATGTGCCAGGCCGGCGAGTTCACGTATCCGTTCGTGTAGGTCCAGCGATTGTAATCACCACCTGTCGAAAAGCATATGTAAAGTACAACCGGGATACATATCCATATGTATGTATAACATGTATATACGGTAGTCTTGTCGTGCGAAGGCTTGTCACTCTGTTCGTGATGTGTGATTTTAGGGGACCCGTACGCTCTCCAACAACTTGAAAGGAGCCGCCGATTCGGCGCTTCCCTCTGCGACGTGGAAAAGATCTGTCTGTTTCTTTCACGTATTTTGCCACAGAAAGAAAGGACGTAAAACAAGGCAAGGGAACAAGGTCAAAGGTGTGTCTAGTTCAGGGATGATTCGTCGTTAACCGAGGATCGGTTTCGCTGACATTGCCAATCTCATTTTCCTTTGAGCAATCAAGATTTAAATATCAAAAGAAGACTGAATTTCATAAAAAGTATATACAAATCGCAGAGTGCAAAAGGATAAAAAGATCGAGGGCTCTCGAAGATGACTCGATCGTTTTTTCGACCGAGAATATATCGATGACTTTTCTGAGGAAAAAAAATCAATTCAAGATTGATAAAAAAAAAAAATCTGTAAATAAAGAATTCCGCGATAGGTCTAGGACGCCCTGTCTAAAAATACTGACATCGTCATACGTCATTCCTCTTCCTAAGCTGATCGACAAGTGCAGCCGCTTGAGGCACTTGGGCGCTATCTCTAAATCAGATAATTCAATTTCGCGTGTCGAACGAGAATGACACGCTTGACAATTGTATCTCGGAGCGTGAACTTCGAACTTTTATAACAGATGGAAACGTGGTATCCGCCGTGTGTAACTCCGTTTAACCTTTCGCACGGCATTCCTATACGTCCAATTGATGTACACAAGGTGTCCCAGACCCAGTGAGCTATCTCTCGTTCGTGTCTGACGTTTGTTCAAAAGGCGTTCCCTATACGAGTTTTTCGTGTCGACGCGTCTCGCACGGGGATAGAAATATCCGCGTCGATATTCGCGCTTCTTCGATCCCGCCGTGCATTACGCGTCGGTTCCGGACATGCGACATGACCGTAACAATGTGTTACGTAACAACTACGAGACTGGGACTGAAAGACGTGATGAGAGAGACGTGACGAGTTCGGGGCCTTCCGTTTCAAACTCGCGGACGGCGCGAGAGAACTTTCGCGGATACGTCAATGATCGCATAAAGACGTATGCATGATCGGTCGCTACCGTGATCTGCGTAAACGGAGGGAATAGGCGTTATGTTACGTTTTACAGGAAAACAAGACTGTGAAGCGAGTCGGCACCTTGCGCGCAAACACAAGTGAAGGGGGCCGAGGGGGAGACAACAAGTGCGTCATAGAGATGAGTGCGAATGTGTGTAGATGCGATGTTGGAAACCTTCTAATCAGAGTCTTGATTATAACAGGGTTCGACATTTTTCTTCCAAAGAAAGACATACACGATCTTGCTTTGTAGATCTTGCACGCTTAATATACAAAAATCATTGAAAAAAAAGTATTGCAATCTTTATTGACCAGCTATACGTCAATATTCGGCAAATTCCATAGATATTCAATTTTGACGAACACAATTAAAAGTAGTGAAAACCGAAAGAGCTATTCTTAATATTTTCTGAATATCAAATATTCTCTTTTTTAATCCTAACAAAGTTATTAAAAATTATATGTTATAAAAAAAATAGAAATAGAAGGATTTAATTTTATTATGTAAATTATTAATTAAATATGGATTAAATCGTGTAATTATTCATCACACTATACATAAAACATAAAAGTACCTCATAAACTGCAACTGGTTGTTTGCTTAATTGAGTATTTAAATTAGTCCAAAATATTAATTAGTTTAATTATAATGAAATTGTAATTTATACAGAAATTATATATTTACATGGAATTTTCCTTATTGTTTATGTATTTTTAGATGCATATAAGAATTATTGTAAAGAAATTAGATATTATTTGATGAATATTAAGAGAAAAAAATTAAATGTTAATAAAATCTTTGAAGTGATAACTTGTAAGGTTTAACGAAAATAAAACTTTCAGAAATTGAAAACGCGAATTAAAAAAACAATAATGGAAAAATAGCAATTAAAAGTTGCTATCTTAAGTTCAGATTCTGATTAGAGAGTCTCCGGGAGTAATATTCATAATCCGATCTTGACTGTCTTAAGTCTAACTTTAGATGATCTTAAGGTTCCATCCAGTCAATGGAACTGACCCTGTATCTCAAAATCTTAATTAAGACGATCTTAAATTTAAGATTGAACTATGAATATTGCTCGCGGTGCGATATTACATAATGACAGGATCGAATCTGACGATGCACAGATGCAGGAGTCAAGAGACCGGGGAAACGTACCAATATCGTATGTCACGGCGAATTCGATGGAGAAAAACTACGAGTAAACGGGAAGTCACGAGCAGAAAAGCAGAGAAAGAGAAAAAAACAGAGAAAAGAGAAAGAAAATGAGAAAAAACAAGGATTGAACTTCCGAAAACTGCACACGTTCAATTGCCATGAATTTTGGATTCAGAAATAATCAAAATGATGTCAAATGAATGCCCTTTTAAGTGGATTTTCACCGCAAGCAAAGTTTAATACCAAAAATGTTTAATAAAATTATTTATTGTTGCTAGTATTACTGTTTTATCAGCTGAATATAGGAGATGTAAAATATAGTAAATATGCCAATGAAGGAAGGCTGCTCCGATGATCATGGTCCTGACATATGTTGTCAGATCCTAAAAAACATTCCAAAAATTTGAGCCGTGTCGCTCGTTGTTTATTAAAAAGTTATTGGAATATTGTTCAAGGCCATGACAATATAAGTCAAGATCAAAATTATAGCAGCCTCCCTACATTGGCATGTTTACCACATTTTTATTATTTCATATTAAAAAATTTCTTTTTTGTAAGAATCGCCAAAAATCTGTTTAAGGGCTTTCATTTTAATCTAAAAGCTCTTGACAAAGTTTTATTAAAATCGACCTTTTTCGGAAGTTTATTCAAAACAAGAATAAGAGAGAGTGAGAGAGGGGAAGGGAAGGAGGGAAGAGACAGAGACAAAAAGAAAAAGAGAGAGAGAAAATTTCCGACCGAGTAAACTGAACTGATGGAAAAGTGACGTTACATTGTTTCCTTTTCGTGATGAAATGACAAACTTCCCCGCTTCGTCTCTGCGGTTTGATAGCATTCGCGCGTCTCCGATCGAGTTCGCCGTTGTACAGATGCTCATACACAAATGGAGAGACATAATGATACTAATCACGCATCAAAGGGTTTTATTCGACTAATCGCCCAGGCCGTGCCACTATAGACATTAACTAGATCAGTATGACGAGTATGACCTCTGCACCGAGTACGTTCGGTGAGATGAACCGTATTGTTAACCGTTAACGTTTGTCGTTCGTGATTCTGCACATCGTAACTTCTCAAAAATTCTGCTTCTTACATAACTTCGGTAAATTTATCAAAGTGTTCTCTCAGAATTCTAGCACATTCATATAACGGCCATAATCGTTAAATTATCGATGCGAACAATGCGACTTTTAAATTAGCGTCCTATCATTCGCATCGAGAGTCCTCTCTACTTAATTTAATTTACATACGCCGATGCGTTTAATTTTAAACGAGTTTATCGCTGCGAGAAAAAAGATCGAAGAAAACGTAGAAAAAAAGGACGCTGTGAATTATATAGATAAAAGGAGAGGGGAAAGAAAATCTTTGATCTTCGGATCACAAGCTCGAAGATGAATCGCGGAAAGCTCTTTCCCAAATAGAGATATATTTACGGAAGATCCTCTGGAGATCTATTTTTCTCGTGCGTGGTCAGATAAGCCGTTTCGTATGTCGCGCTTCAAATCAGGAGCCACCCCGGAATTGCCGAAACCGCGACCTTATTTGAGTGATTCGACAACGGCCATTCCGATGGTCTCACTTCGGACAATCCCGGGATAACTGTCATTCCAAGCTCGGACTAGTACGACATGTGTACAGAGTGTGTAGTCGGAAAATGTCCAACGATATGACCCTGACACGTATCGACGTAATCCTGAAGTGTGTAAATCTCGTTCGAATTTTAAGCCTATGGCTCGGAACATGCGCGGATATCAAAATTGAGAATTCGCCGGAAACAAAGTAACGGCATATGCCATCATTTATCGGCACTCAGCGGTAGTCCCTTTGCATCTCGCATATTTCGCGCCACATCCCTTTCATATCGTAACACACGATCATAAAGTAACGATTTTAATATATCCGTGTATAATAACGATGATATATATTGCGAGAATCTTCCACATATTTAACAGTACATAACGATCTCGCCTTATTATCGGGAATGCTGCAATTCCCGAACGCATTATTGACGAATTATTGCTGTAATTAATTATATTCAACTGCGAATCTATTCAAATTTCAAAGATACTTTTTTTTTTTAGATATACTTTAACAAGCCTTCGAAATTAAAGTACAATGTTTTGGTAGGTGTATTTAGTTAAATAGCTGCGCTCTGCAACAGGATGAGTAATTAAAAAGCTCAATTCCGTATTAATTAAGTCAACCCTGCTATTCCGTATTGATCTATTTTTTTCTTATTTTCATCTTTAAGACGTAACAACTCTGTAAGTGTTGCACCTAACAATTAAAAAATTCATAGCTCGATATATCGTTTATTAAATACACGCCTGTAAAAAGAAATTATGTATTTGATTGAAATCGAATTAAAATATAAAAAGTATAAAAGTACTAAACAGCAAACAAGTGTGTCGACAATTCTACGTAAAATTAAAACGGCAGCAATTCGAGCAATTTCTTACATTCCACCTAAGAAAACAAACTTTATTTCACGCTGCTGACGATGTCGCGTTCAATTTTACATTCGCAATTGTGATCATTATCCCGAAAACACATAGTATATGCGCTCATAATACTGATGTTACTCGCGTTTCCTCTCTTTCGCGTAATCAAGTGCATCTATATCGCTCACACATATTTTACCTATCTAAGAAACGCGTTAAAGAGATACGCGCACGTGCAGCGCGCGTAAACGCGTCGCAATTCGCGCCGAATTCGTTCACGCCTCGCTACCGTAGTTAAATTATGCACACGACGACAGGTGGTATAAAAACTAGGCACAATAATACAAGCCAATGAAAAATCCAAATGGGACTTTCTATTGCTTTTCGCTCAAGTCGGACTCCTTCCTGAAGTTTGTTTTTTTATTCGGTCAAAGTGTACGTTTCTTTCTCATCGGGAGACATCTCCCGTTCTTCCGTAATTCACTATAAAGCCGAACTCTTTTTCTCGTTTTCTCTTTCTCTCAAAACCACCGATCTAAGGAAACGAACAATTGTGAGCGGTAAAAGATATGCACGTGTTACAAAACGTATCAGTCTCAATTAGAAATTTTATTGAACGAAGGAAACGAAAAAAAAATCAAGCGTCTCCGAGAAAACAGCCGAGACGCGTTTCTCTCAGCGATAAATAATAAATAACAGCCCAGTAACAATTTTAACACAGAGCATAGATCTCCCGGCCTTATCTTGCGGATATATCTGTCGCTAGGCGAATAAGTCTCACGGATTATTAATGATTAAGAGGCTTAAGTTCCCACCTAAAAAAAAAAAAAAAAAAAACAGAGCTTAGCAGCTACCACTCGGTTGGTCCATTGCCAACGTCTATTAACGAGTAACAGGTGCTCCTCTCGCTCGTCGAGGATAAATTCCGTACGCGCAGGATATACCGGTGGGTGCACCTGCCGGCCGCGGCGCCATTAAAAAGCGCGGGGGAGACGCGGCGCACCACATTTACGTATCTAGGTTGAGCAACTTTTCCTCACTCCTTCTTTTTTTTTTCTTCTAATTCGCGTGCGCGAAGCAAAATCGCGGCGTAATCATAGGAGATCACGTTGTCGTTGCTGTTCGGAATACAATTCGAACTGGAAACAATCGCCTCCCCCCCCCCCTCGGACGACCACCTTACGTAATTCCGCGTTTCGTTCTCCCTCGATGGAATCCCACCTCGAGCGACCGCCGCTCGCGATTGATTGTCCTGGATGAATTTTCAAGGTCGCGCGACCGAATAAAACGGCGTGCATTCGCGACGCCGTGAGTTAGCGCTGATTTAATCCCTTGACGTTGTTACAGCGTGACGCAACAACGGCTGCGCACGATCACGTGCCGTAGGAGCGCCGGGTGTAATTATGTATAACAAAGCTACGATTTCTTTTTCTTTTTAGGAGAAAAAACAAAGTAAGTACGTTTACGTTTATTCATTCAAGTATTCGCACGATTTTCCCTAGCAATGTTGGGTGTGTCTCGTGCAAGGAACGAAACGAGGACTCGAGTCGATTAAAAGGATTAAAAATAAATTCGCCACAACAACTGTGGCTCGTTTTAAAATTACGATTACCTTTGAAAATCCTACATCGCTCTTTCGATTTCTATGATTTATAACATTATCATAATTAGGATATAACGTGTCGCGCGTAACGTTTATCATTCACTAACGAGTCGCGCGCGGGCACGCTGATCGCGATAGTTGAAATACTCTTCGCTTCCCATGTACGTGTGTGTGTGTGTGTGTATGTGTGTGTGTGTGTGTGTGTGTGTGTGTGTGTTTTGCATGAATATTACTTGCTAAAATATACTCATCCTCTACTGGGGACCAAAGGGACTCTATCGTGACGGTGATATCAAAGTAAACCGAATCTCTAAAACGCGTAACAAACCGTATCTGTATCCCTAACGATAATGCTACATTTCTCGCGCAATTTTTGATCATTCAGCCTTTGAGCTTTCTAGCCCGGAAACGACGGACGACGTCGTCTTCGCCCTCGTCTTACGTCTGTCCTGCTTTCGTCATCGTCGTCGTCGTTGATGCCCTTGTCGTCGTTCATACCCGTATAACTCTCGATTCTCGATTGCCGCTCAGCGCGAAACACCGCCGGGCAAATCGTCATCGTTGAATCAAGATCGCAAGAAGGTCAGGCCGAGTCGTCGAGATCCGTTCCCATTTGATCTTCGTTCGCGCGACAGACATAAATCGAGAGTGCCAACGTACGGCCACGGAGAGTCTGTCAATTCTAAAGTGCGTTCAATTCCATATACGACTGGGAACTTGTCTACAAATCCTGCTAGTTTGAGCCCGTGAGTGAGTGTTGACCGATCGCGCTCAATTTTCTCTCTTCCACGGGCATTTCTGTTTAGCGTCGATCGTCGACGCTGCGTCAACGCTGCTGCTGCCGATGAAGCTCGTCCTTCGTCTCGGACATTTCGTCATTCTCGTCGTCGTCCACGTCTAGACTCTGACCCTCTGGCAGCAGCGGTGGCGGTATGGTCGCCACGTCGAAACTGGAGTCGGTGCTGGATACTATGTGGCCGTCCTTGACCTCAAGATCGACCACCACGCGGTGTCGCCTCTTGGCGTTCTGCTGTCGCTTCCGGCGGAAGGCCCGCTGACCCCGATCGGGCGTGTGCGCCGGACTGTCCATGCTCGAGGAGGTGTCACCCTCGCTCTGCGGGCTGCGGCTCGACGAGTAAGGCATCGTCTTCGTTCTGATCTGCGTCCTAACCGGCATAGGCGGACTGGACGTAGTCGACTCGCCGCTCAGACTCGTCGTGGAGTAATACGGGGTCGACTTTGCACGGATCGGCACCATCACGGGCCGTTCGGTGGAACGCGTGCCCTGAGCTCGGGTCGGCTCCGAGAAGCCGCGATCGAATTTGCCTGATCTCGCCGATGGTTTCTCTCGCTCCGGAACGTCTCTTCGTTCCTCGGACGACCAATCGTCGTCTGCCGTTCCCGGTTGTAGGGTGAGCTCAGCGTACCTCTCATGCATATCTTCCGAACTGTCCCCGCGGCCGACCTCCATCCGCACTTTGTCGCTACTGGAATATTTCATTGCGGGTACATTGTCGTACAACTGATCCTCCTCGTCCTCCTCGGGGATCGGTAGCGCTGTATCGTCAACACAGAGCGTATCCTCGTCCGGGCCCATTTGAAAGTCATCGTCAATGGCCTCGTCGTACTCGTTTCGAAGCGTGATACGAGGTGGCGAGATGTCGGCGAATTCCTGGGGATAAACGCCTTGCTGTTCGTCGTCGTATCGACGTAGACGATGGTGCTCGTCGAATTGGCTCTCGATAAATCGCCGCGCCTCGTCGAACTCGTCATCGTGCGCTCGAGATTGACGTGGATCGTCGTCATCCTCGGCGGTTGTCTCGGCCAGTAAAGTCTTGTGCTGTTCGATCGCGGAACCGACGGCTTCGTCCTCGAAAAATGCGGAAGCAGCCGTCGCGGGTGGAGAAGGCAGTGGTGGTGACACGGGCAGCGGCAATGAAGACGGGGATGGCGGAGACGGGAGGGAGGAAGTGTCTGCGGACTGGCACTTCGAGTTTGGTCTCATGCTGGTCGCGCTCCTCTCGGACGTCGTGGTGTCGCTCTGACTCTTGTCCGCGGCCGTGGCGTAATACTGCTGCGGTATCACCGTCGTGCTACCTGACCAGTCCGAAATCGAGGCGCCGAGTTCCGCCAGCGAATTGTCATCAGACTTTGTACCCGAGTACTGGCAATACTGGCGCACGGTGTTGTTCGAGCTGGACCATTCGGACATGGACAGACCCATCGACGTGTCCTCGCTGTGCGACGAGCCGGTTATGTAGGAATTCGACTTCGGTTTTACCGCGATCTTGACTGTACCGTCGGCCGTCGCGGACGTTGAAGGACTTTGCCCGTCCTCCAAGAGAGTCGAGTGCAGATCGTCGTGCAGCGTCCTGTTCTCGTCACTGGAGTCGCTGTCTTGTTCTGGATTAACGGGCGTCTCCGTACTGTCCGTAACGGTCACCTTGACTGCTTCCTCCGGTTTGATTTCCATGTAGAATGTTTCCACATGGCTCACTACTGGTGTTTCAAAAACAGGTGAACTGGGCGGCGATGGCCAGTCCTCGGAACTTTGCAACTGCAATCGTGATCGCCTGTTCGTTCGCGGCGATTTCGAGTCATCCTCATGAGCGCCAACCACATCGATGGGAATGTCCGGTAGTTCGGAAGACGTTCTGCGATCATCAGAAACAGATGGTAACGCCGTACCGGACGGAGGGTCCGATGATAGAGACGGCTGATGATCGCTTGACATCAAAGATTCATCGTCGAGGCTCGGCGACCTCGAGCTTGGCTTAAAGGAATCCTCGAAGTCGCTTCTATCTTGCTCCGACGTGGTCGATCGTTCGGATATTCTCGACAACGTACGTGAAAGTGAAAATGCGCCGTAATTAGCTAATATTTCGGGACCAATGATAAAGGTGCCCGGAAAGTCCGCTAGGTCCTCTTGATAACTGTCTTCGTTCTGACCGTTGCTGTCCTCAGATTGCGATTGCTGCGCGGTGCCCTCGTCCTGAGCCACCCAGCCGTCCTCGAGACTGGAGCTACCGGAGCTTCCCTGCGGAAATGACTTCCACGTGACGCTGATTTCTTGCTTTGGAGGGGGATGCGAGCCGTTGCTGTCATCATCTAAGGAACCGCTGTCTCGGGCACCTTCGATCATAGCGATTTCCCGACGATCTATTATAGGTTGTATCTGGCCGATACCTAGTGGCCGAGCGATAGAACATGAACTGGAGTCTGGATCTTCCCTGTCCGGTGTCCAAGTGTTGGTCTCTTCGCTTCTCGAGCGTTCACTGCTCAGTCTAAGTTTCCTGTCAATAGAAAGACGATTGGAATCCGCGATCTCTGTTTCCTTCATCGGTTCATCTTCCGGTAATTCTTCCGGCGTTTCTTCATCTTCTTTTTTCATCTCCAGATATTCCGGCGTCAATTCAACCTCGACCAACGTCTTTTCGTCCATCTTGTCCACACCGTAATCCGGCGAACTTAATTCGCTGTCCGGACCTCGCGGAGTCCGTATTTGCATATCGAGCGCATCGAGCGTATCCTCGCTCGTATCAAGTGAGTCTAGCCGCTTGTTTTCGTCTTCTTCCCGCTCGTCGATCTCTACCTGCACTTCCACTATTTCGTCCTCCTCTTCCTCCGGATTCATATCGTCGTCAGAACATTCTTCAATTGATATTTGTATCGGTGACTTGACCATATCTGGAGGATCGTCCTGATCGTAATTAAAAAAGAATACATTATCCTCTCGAGCCGCGCTTATAGTCACGTCAGGCACGTCATCTCTCTCAGACGGACTTCTCGAGCCATCTGTGTCGACTTTGACACGAAAGTCATGTGGACGAGATGGAGATGGAGATTTAGTTTCGCTAGTTCTCGCACTTGTCTCACCATCTGAAACTTCGCTGGGCGATTCAGTCTGCTTACAGACAACTTCCGTACTACCGCTCTTTATGAAAATTGTAGATACTGCCGGTTCATCTTGATTCTGAGTTTGATCTTTTGGCATATCCTTCGCGTCGGAACTCTCTTGAGAAGCTTCCTGTTCGACGCCGGATTCGGCGGAACTCTGATCGATGAATTTTGTCGCTTCCTCCAATTTAGCGCTCTCTATGACCTTCGACGTTTGCGCCTCGTTAAAGGAACTCGTAAATGGCATTCGGCTACCCTCGTAGGAATCGGCACAAGGGACAATCTCGTTACATTCTGTTAGCGGCGATTCTAGATACTGCGTCGAGGTCTCGGTAACGGATAGAGAATCCGGCACGGTTGTGTGATCGGTACTATCAGATTTATGATTCGGGGAGGCCTCCATCTGAACAGAGAGCACCTTCGATGCTGCGCTCGCGCCTTCGGCAGCATTCTCCTGATCCTCCAGATTCTCCGACACGTCCACCGTGTCATCCTTGCTGGAAAATGCGTTTGCCGGCGGTAGCCTGTGCACGGAGATCACTGCGGCGTCCAAGGATTTCGCGCGCCGCTGAGAAGTAGGCGACTGCGTTGCGCCTTGACGCTGAAGAGCGCCAATCCCGCTACCCTCCGAGAGACCAAGACGTGCGCGAGCAAACAGTATCGGCGTCTGTCCCGGTTTACGTAAGACTAAGGGAGATTGAGTTAAATCCTGAGCAAGTGCCGTTTTCTTTAGACTGTCCTTTGTTACTTCCTTGCCTGGCTCTTTATTTGTCTCTTTTCCTGGCTCTTTGCTCGGCTCCTTGCGTGACTCCTTAACTACTTCCTTGGACTCGTCGGCTGCTGCGACACGTTTAGTATCTACTGGCTGATCAATTACAACGTCAGATTTAACAGACGATTTAGAATCTTTCTCCTGTTTAGGCTGCTTTGATTCAGCAGTAGCTTCCTCGCTGGTCGCTTCTACTTTCAAAGCTACTTTACCGCGTGCCGTTTTTGAATCTTGTTTTGCGTCCTTCGCCACAGCAGCTTTAGCGACAGCTTTGAGTCTCTTCGGCGAAATTTTCTCTACTGAATCTTTCTTCTCTGTACTACCCAGACTCTTCGATATTCCCAACGATTTCGGTCTCGACTTTTCGGACTTGATCGCGCCTTTAATAAGTTCGTCGTCGACAGACGCGGATTTCGCACGAGTACTCTTCGCTTCTTCCTTTTCCTCCTTCGATGATGAAAACGGTTTATCGGATAATCTAGTTACAGATTTTGATCTACCCTTTTGTACAATGCTTATTTCTGGCGCCACGTCAGTCGAATCTATTATTATGATCTCTTGCGGCATCTCGCCGAGCTTCAATTTGGATTTGTCAATTTTTGTACTCGCCGACGGTGAACGTGACTCTTTCGACGCGCTCTTTTTCAGCGGCGGTTTGTCGCCCTCTAATGATTTTGATTGCTTTTTGAAATCCTTCTTCGGTTCGGATTTCATTTTCTTCGCTCTCTTCGGTGAAACGTCCTGCACGAAGTGCTTATTTTCGAGTTCCGGCGAGAGCAAGGTATCGATCGGTGCCTTCTCTTCCGCCAGCGACAAAGACTTCGATCTTATCGGCTCTCCGTGCGGTCTTAACAGGAAAGGAACGAACTCAGGAACTTTAAGACTATCCAACTCTAGAGTAGGTTTCACAGGCACTTCGTCCAAAGGCAAATCGGCAACTGGATCCACGAAATCGTCAAATCCTGTATCGATGATCTTTGGCCTCGATATCTTCGTAGCGGAATTTTTACTGACTTCCGAAAATTTCGATTCTATTCTCTCCAAAATACGCTTCGTTTTTTCAGGAATACTTGGCTTCTCTAACGTCTTCGGTTTTTCCGGAATCGGCGGTTTCTCCGGTTTGATTTCCATTGTAGCCGGCATGTGAACTTCAGCTATTACAGACTGTACATTTTCTCTCTTTTGATCATCGTCAGACAGTTCATCGGCTCGTTTCGGGGAACGATCTCGTTCTCTCTGTTCGATGGTTCTGACTTGATCCATCATTTTCTCTTCAGCCTGTCCGCTGTCAGGAATTTCGGGTAACGGTATCTTTTCAATGCTATCTTGCGTCTCTAAACTATCGTCCGGTGCTTTCAGACTATCTTTCTCAACTTTCGCCTTACGTTCCAGATTTTGCTTCATTTCCATACCGACGATGTCGGCAAAATTCAGAACAGCTTTCGCCGTTTTCGCAGTGGGGCTCCTGGGCGCGCCATCGAGAGATTTCTTCTTCTGTATCACAGAGACGATAGTCACGCTAGGATCAGTCGGCGACTTTTTGGGCGAACGTTTTTCGATAGCCGAGATAATGGTGACATTCGGCTCTACCGGCGACAATTTCGAGGGTTTCTTGTCTAAGCTCGAGGATTTCTTGCACGTGTAATCCTCGATGATAACTTCGGCTTTGTTTCTATCTAACGAGCCGCCCTTTTGCGAGAACTTTTCGGGAGACTGAGTCTTCGCTTTCGAGGGGCTCCTCTTGCTAGGCGACAAACTGCAAACAATGCTCTTTGGATCTGTGGGCGAGAGTTTCGATGTTGGACTTAGAATACTCCTCGGCTTATCCGAAGGGCTTAATATCGATTTCGGTCTTGCGGTAGCCGTGCCACTTTTCAGCTTATCCGGAGACAATTTATTGCCAGCCTTGTCTACCGAAGAAAGCTTAGTCAGATCGAAGTACGGAAGATCCGCCACCATTTTCAGCGGTAACTTCGGCAAATCCTTGGCGAGACTTTTAACATTCCTCGAGGTTTTACTGCTATCCGATTCGGATTTTTCGTCGGACGCCGTGCCATTCATAACGTGCCTCTTGTGCAATATGTACGGGATATCGACGTTGGTCTTCTGTATCGTCGCGCTGTCCGAAAACGGTTCCTCGTCACCGGAGTCAGCCGGTGTCAAGTCTATGGATTTCTGGTGCATCAGCATGTGCCGCTTGCTGTTGCTGGATCCTAACCTTTGCCGCGCCGGATTCGGATCGCTCTTCGTACGCTCCACCGGCACGTGTCCGGGCAAGGCGGTCTCCTCGAAACCTAGGACGATACCGCCAACGACCTTCGGCTCGTATTCGGCGAACACGGTTTTCGACTTCAAATTCTCCATCTCGTGCGGCACGCCGATAACGGTTTCCGTACGGGATTCGATAGACAGTTTCGCTTGCCGCTCACGTTCCCGTCTTTCATCGTCTTTTCGCGCTTTCTCCAAACTCCTCCAATCATCACGTTCTCGCGGCTTTTCTTCTGACTTGGCTTTCTCGGATTTGCTCCTGCTCTTCTTCTGGTCCTTATAATCCATCCTCTCGATATTTTTTCGACGCTCCATGCTATCGAAGTCCAAACACTCGAGACTCCTTCCTTCCCGCGACTCTAAACGTCCTAAGTACCTTCGTTCACGCGAGTCCAGCTTTTCCAAGCTCTTTCGTTCGGCGCTCCTCGATTCCATCTTTCTCTCGTAAGTTCGTTCTCTTTGCTCGTAGCGCTCCATGGATTTCAAATGTTCAATCGCTCGCGGATCAAAGTCAAACTCTTGAGAATCGAGTCTCTCTATGCTCTTCCTCCGTTGTTCTTTCAATCGCTCGAATGGGCTTCTGTTGCCGGAATCGAGGCGTTCAAAAGTGTGCCTATCGTAATCGATAGAAGCGGCTCTATTCTTCCTCGTTTCCCGAGAATCTATCCGTTCGATACTTCTCTCCCGGCGCTCCGAATGCCGATGATTGCTCCTCTCCTTGGGACTCCTCAGATATTCCATGCTGCTGCGCAGCCCTTGAGAGTCTAAACGATCGACGCTCTTACCGCGCGACTCGTAGAAATCATTGTTATAAAAGGCACTCTTTTCCCTCGAGTCTAGATCGTAATTCCTCTCGTGTGCGTCAAGCCGCTCGATGCTTCTACGTAACTCGCGTATATCGATCCAGTCTATGCTGCGACGACCGTGGCTATCCGATCTCCGCTCGCGCGAGTCGAGCCGATCCGCTGAACGACGTTCTCGCGAATCGCTCTTGTCCATTCGCCTAAAATCTCTCGAGTAATCCCGCTTTCGCTCCTCCCTCTCAATGCTTCTACGCTCCTTCGACAAGACTTTCTCGATCTTAACGTCAGCGTCCCTCGATTTCCTATCCCTAGACTTATGCCCTCGACCTAGACTACCTGTCTCGACATACAATCGCGGCGTATGATCTTCCAAGCTAGCGATACTGCGCGCCCTAATCGTCCTACCTCTCCCGCTATAATCTAACGTTCTACTTCCCTCAACCGGGCTCAGATCGTCATCAATTCGCGATTTCGGACGCATAATACCCTCGTCTCGCAAGACCTCCGAATCTACGTGAGTGATCTTATATTTGGGCTTTAAGTTCTTTAACTCGTTCAGGACAGAAACTTTTTGCTTCTGCACCTGCATTACCATGGGATCTTTTCTGGCGGAGTCCTGATGCGGAATACCCATTTTGGACGGCTGTTCTACGGAATTCGCGTGTCTCGTTTCGAATTTACGTTCTATTTGAGTGCCCGTCCGATGTATCCTAGATTCAGTGATCACGAAATCGCTGTCTGCCTTGGGTACAGCTGAGTACCGATCGATGGACTTAGTTTTAGAGTTCTTGAGCTCATTAAACGCGGATTTATATTGTTGTTTGTCCGAAGACTTTATCGATCTGTGCTTGACGAAGGAATCGGTTTCGGAGTCCATTTGGAACATCTCGTGTTCGATTCCCTCGTCACTCTGATCGGATATAGGTTCGTGCTCGTCATGTGGACTAGAATACGATTCCGGATACTCGAATTCATGCTCGCGTTCCAAAAGCTCGTAAGAATCGTGTGAGAGATCGTCATGCGACAGATCTCCAGCGGGACCCGATTCCTCATGGCCCGATTCGGTAGACAACGACGACGTTCCCGGGTAGGAACTGCTGTAGACACGCTCGGGGACAGAATCGTGATCTAGGGAAGGTAATTTCGAACTAGCGGCGCTATATGAACGATTGCTCTCGTCGTATCGTGTTACGGGATTATCTAATTCACCCTGGGAGGCTAATTGGAATGGGTCTAACGGAAGATCCGCGGTGACTTTGTCGTCCCGCGGTCGCGCTTTACCGGAGTCCTCGAAACTAGAAGCGTACAACTCGCGACAACTAGCCGACCGTTGCCAGGGGTATCTGGGCAGAGGTCGTGGTGGTGGGAATTCGGGAGGACTGCTGTTAGAGGGGCTGATACGACCTGTTGATGAAATCCGTGGCTGCTGGCTGGTAGAAAGCATCGGCCGCGGTGCTGGGACCTGGCTGGGGGTGGCTGGCGAATGGACGTCGATAGAGGTGAGCGTCCGAAACGATGTAGCTGTGTCTTCTCGACGGTGAATCGTCCCTCCCATCGAGACACTCGTCGCAGTCGTCGGAGAATCCAGTGTCATCGAACCGCATGACAGAGACAGAGCTGGGGTTGCCAGTGCTGGAAAAATCGTATCACACGATAGGAAAAAGGAGATATAAATCTCCTTTCTTTTGACATCTACATATGTTACGAAATTTTTTTTTAATTCCCGTGCGATTACGCCTCTACCGTGTTAATTATTCTAATGAATATTTAATTAATGAAACTATTGCGAAAAAATGGATTTAACGCGTGCAAGCGCACGATACTTTTACTTCTTTTTATTTCGTTAAATAAACGAATAAAAGTAAATTAGTATTCAATATTAGTAGTAAATTAGTAAATTTCTGTTATAATAATCAATAATATTTTAATAGTTATGTTAGTACGTAATACTAATTAATAATCAGTACATATTATCACTTTTTTTTAATCGTACAGTATAATATATATTTGTTTTTTTTTTTCTAAAAATTGTTAATATTACTTTCATATTTTTCCAGATACTAAAATTGATGAAATATTTTAGTAGTTAATTCTTCATGTAAAACTAATGTAATCTCATAAACATTTTAGTTTCAAGTCTTAAACGTACATATATACATTTCAGAAATCATTTCAATGTGTAATCATCGAGGTACGAGTATAATCATAATCGTAAATATACGGAATTTCGATTTTCTTAATTATAATTTCTACGTACGCACGCACACACATACACACACACATACGCACATGACGCACGCGCACATGACACACGCACATGCGCGCGCGCATACATTCAACACATACATACAATTCTTATAAACATAATAAACGTTAGGCACAAAATCCTTTTAAAAACCATCTATTTAAGATACGCTATTCTACTCTACTATTACAATACTTTAGTTATGATACGGTGAAAAGAAATGAGGCTAGAAACAGGTGGACAGAAATAGAGAGAGCCAAAGGGCGGAGAAATTAAAAATAAAGCGTTTGTTGTGGAGGTTGGTGTCGGTCATGGTACATACCAGGATCGCCGAGGGGCAGGAGGGGGTGGGCAGAGATGCTGGAGCTGCCCATAAGGGAGCTGCTTGGAGTGGCCCCACGATAGCCTCCCCCCTCCGAGCCCTGCAATGCCCTACCACCGCTAGTCTGCCGGAACGAATTGGACCTGCGAGCAAGAGAGAGTCAAGTTCAGCATCAGACTTAGGCTGTCAAATGCCAAGCCTGTGTTTGGAACTAGCTTATCCCTTCTTTCTCTTTCGTTGTCGTCAACGAATCATTAATAGGAAAAAAGAAAAGGAAAAAAAACAGGACGCTTCTCGACTAAACCGACGCTACGATGCAAGGAATTATGCGGATGATATTGATTTTCCTACCAATCCACATCTTGGAATACGATGCGATAAACAAAAACAGATTATTTCTGATACGATACACGGTCAACACCGCCGTTAAATGATTTTTAATTGCAATATTATTGTTGTCGACATGTACAGGTATTTCATATTTTTGATTATACAATATAACAAAATAGAAATGTCACTTAAAATGTTTAAAAGTGCAACTATATATATATATATATATATATATACATATATATATACATATTTACTAATTATATATGTTATATAATTAGTAAATTACGAATTGTGTTTTGGAGAACCATTGAATTTAGGAATAGTGAAGACAGCCATTATTTTTCAATGGAAAACGAAATTGTAAAAAAAGGCTGCCCTACTTTCAAAAATGCCATATGGAATATACTTTATAAAAACATTAATATAGAAAACTTTTATTTGCGCGTTCGAAAATAGCCATACGTGCAATAATTATATGAAACACAAGAAAATATCTTGCGTGTTCCAAAGCATAAATAAAATACAAGAGTGCACTTTCAAAATAAATATACTTAATGTCATATTTAGACTTTAATACATACAACTTTTATGATCATATAAAACTGCTCATAGACTATCAAAGATTCATATAAAATTTGATTTTGATACATTTCACGATTTTATTGCTTGTGAGGTAAAAAAAGTCTAGAAGAGGCAAAATATAAAAATATTTAGGCTCCTCTTAAGATCTTTTTTAGCAAATAATCTGATATCGATATGTAGTAATGTATAAATAATTTCAACTTATTTATAAACAAATTTAATGTCACACGCGTTATATCAGTCTTTTTGTCAATCGATGTTTCAATGTATGAAGGCGTTTCTCAACCGTGCATCGATATCGCACAGCAAACAGAAATCTGCCGGCGCACAAGAATAACTTTTCTTTCTTCGACTGTGTCATACAATAGACTATCTTCTATTTTAGAGAACAATCTACTGCTATGGACAAATATCTTGTTGGATAAAACTTGTTAGGGCAGTGAAAAACGTGGTACTTTGCTGTGTATAATTAGATATACAACAATATAAATAATTAGTGATCACGCTATTGAGAGAGGGTACACTCATCATTCGGGTTTATCGTGCCTGATGGTGAGCCTGACTCCCCGCCACCCCTGTCCGAGCAGGCAACACTGACAAACGGAAATATAAAAATGGACATAATAAAACAGTTTCCGCTATTGGAAATTGGAAACGTTTGGATAATACATATATAAAATATCGACTTGTAATCCCGGCAAAAGCAAGACCGTGCCACCTCCTATCTTACTCACAAGTTTTGGTGCGTTCGTTAATAAAAATCTCAATGATACAAACCAACATTAGGAAAACAATACGTAATGGTCTGCATGCACTACCTACATATTACATGGGTATCCAAGAACTCTTTTAATTATTCAACAACTCTCTTCGATCACTTGGCGGAACTTACCTTTGAAATGTCTGCCTCTTCACGTAATTATCTCGAACAAATTCGACAATTTGTTTTTGAGTTTTGCCGCTATACCTGGTAATATGTAAACGTACAGCAATGTAGAGATATATTTTGATAATTATTCAAATTCAAAGTATACTGTATACTTTTTAACAAGCTCATACGATCATATTTTAAAGATAAAATATTTAAATGTATAAGCTATTTATCTATAATGTATATTTAAATTGTAGAAAAATATAAAAAGTAGACGTTAACTTTCTTTGATCAATGCAGTAATATTCTGGGAACCAATTTGATTCCATACCTGAATGATGATCCACGGCTAAGCACTCTAGTTTTCTGTCTTACGACTCTCTTAACTACAGAGCAACGGAAGAAACCATGATTTTCTACACACTTTTTCCAAAAGTTTTTACATTCATTACGTCCCTCAAAGAAAAATTCGACCGTATCCTTATAATATCCCTATAAGTAATAAAAAAATGACATTAATATGATTGCAATATAAACGAATATTATATTTAAGTACATAAGTAATTTACTGCCTTAATGCAGAAATAATTATGTTTAAGAATTATAGATATTTTAAATACTCACATAACCCTCGGGATGTAATTTGATTAAAAAACGTTTTCGTTTGAAACTGATTTTTCTGATTTTGGCCCAACTAAATGTATTTATCTTAGTATAATTTTGAAAAACTACAATGCCCATATGTGCCACTGCGAGATTTAGTGGAACATTTTCATGATCCTACAAAATAACAAAGGTATAAAGGTATTTTATAGAAGCGATTTTTAACGACATAGAGAACAAATCTTTTAATATCGCCTACCTTAGCTGGATGCATTTTCATTCCATACAGTTCACAACGTCGAGCGGTTTCTAAGAGATTGAGATCTGCTTCTGCAGGAGATTGACCCCTGTTAACATTAAAACGACATATGTATGTACACCCAACATGAATAAAAAGTGACTTATTTAACAAATATTTATTTTATATAAAATTCTTACGCATGCTTCTTGTGATTCTCCATGATGCGTCGTTCTAACTCTTGATCCTGATGAGGCACAAACTTGTATGTTGATAAATACGTATGATCTGGATAGTCTTCTATCACATAATCCCCGCATTCAGCTAGAAGCAAAAAAAAACAATGATCAAAACAGATCACAAGATATTTTTATTAAACAACGGCAATGAAATCAAAATGTATTACGAAACGACCACAGATTTCTATACAATTCTATTTCATTTCTGTTTCTAAAAATCTGAGCGAAACGACTAACGATGTTAATATAATTTGTTAGGCTTAAATTTAAAATTAATAGTAATCGAAACAGTACAATAATTATAATTACCTTGGACAATATAACTGGCCATCAATGCTGCCGTATTATCATTGCATTGCAATAAACCTTGAGCTAAATCCCGTTTGATTTGTAGACAGAATAAATATCTTGTAAACTCCTCCTCAAGCTGTGCAGGATCCGGCGTATAAAATTTAACACAGAACCTCAATAACGGATCAATAAGAGACAAACCAACTTGTCTGCACACAGGTTTCTCCAAATCCAACCAATACTGTAAATAACAAAATCTTTAATTTTACTGCTCATTAAAGAACGTTATTTACGTTTTAACAATCGCAGCTTACTTTTGTAAAATTTGGTTCCTGATACTCGAGACCGAAGTAATCCGCTTCTAATAGATGTAATTGTTTACAAACTTGATCGAACAACACTCTACCTAGTGCTTTGGCCTGAAATTTGCAAATAATAAGATTTATATCATATCATAGACATAACTAAGCTTTGATAGACAACTAAGCTGTTTATAAAATGCCCGTATTTCTGTACTGTTTTATATTTTCATAAATAATTTTCGTACGAAATATGTCAATCACAATCATATAATCGAATGCTATAAATGTACAGAATAATATCTTATTGTACTTTCATTGTAAGCTAAGATGCTGGAACAAAATTAATCTCTGAAGAAATAAGCAACACGTTGCAAGCATTGTAAATAAATAATCAATAAATGAGTGTACATATTTCACACACATTCAAGGAGATCCCCCATTCGATACATTATATGCTCCAATAGCTCATTCTTCTGGAAATATATGCGCGCACACACACATACATAAACTGCACATATGGTAAATACCTTGCTAATATAAAAATACATAATATTACAAGCTAATAAAAATTTATAAATCTAAATAACGAAATATCTCATTTACTGACACCAATTCTAAGATTCTATTGAAAATTTTTTTTAGAAGATTGCAGGCCTAGTTTATCTATATATACTTTAGCATATAAATTTGATTAACATTACGTAAAACCTTCATGATAGTAAAGCAAATATAAAAATTTTTTTAATGTTTCAAATTAATGTAACAAGCAAGTGAAAATCTCAAATATCGGGATTTTGAGTTAAATAGCTTCGGGAAGCAGATTCTAAGAGGCTCTGTAATCAATGACTCTTGACCTGGATATATGAAGTAAATAGTTTAACATGCCTATGGAGCAGAATATAGGATGGCGGAACTAATGGATATGCAGACTTTTTGATTACATAAAAGATAGGAACGATCGCAAGTTCAAGTTGCATAAAAGTAACGATGTGACAAACATATTAAATAATATATATACTTTACGAAGATTAGATTGCATCAGGGAGATACGGAGCTCTCGGATCAGATTATTTAATGATGTTTTAATACATTGATAAAATACACGCGATGATGGGTAACACAGATACGTGACACAGCTTACGCGCTCGCAAATGCGATAATAGAGGAAGGCGCATTCAATTGCCGTATAATGTAGAATTATGAAGGCACAATAAGATATTCAAGCATCATTCAATGTCACTTTACAACATTTACTCGCGCGAGTACAGTCTCACCCGTAGGGCGCAGGGAAGTCGCCTTTACGAATGCGTTAGACGGCAAATATTTCCACATATAGCTAGCGTATTTTATAAACAATGCACACGAAGGCCTCAGACGAAAAAAAAAAAAACATATTACGCCACATGAGGAACGAGAGCGTGGAATATTCTTAACTTATATTTATTTATAGGTCCCATCGTGACCTTAGACAAAAACTCTGGGTGTTTTCTTCTACGAAGGGTGCTTCAAGAAGTGAATTCGCGAAGCTCTATCGAACTAAAATGAATTGGCAAAAGAATATTAACTGTATTAAATTCAATTGAGCTTCGTTGTACTAATTTCCTCATGTGTCTTAATATGCATAATTATCGCAAAGAGCAGTTGAGACACGAGGATGCAGTAGAGAACTCCGTTTACGCGAACAAGTTTGTGCTCAGTTCCAAATATACGAATCCATAGCCGAGGCTCTTATTATCCGAATGCTGCGGATAATAAGAGCTCGACGTGCTCGACTTCAGTTTTCCGAACATCAGCCCCTATTATCGGAACTAATAATTACGTCAGCTCCTATTATCGAAACTAATAAGTGAGCCTCTATCTATTATTCGAGCCATTCGGTTATCGGAACTGTCTCGCCGTCCTCCTCCTCCTCCTCCCCCCCCCCTCCCTTGATATGTACGGATAAACGGAGCTCTACCGTATTACTTGAAGGATGAAATGTGAGAGATAAGTATCCTTTACCTGCACTTGAAACATTGTAATAGAGTCATCCAACATCTGTACACGAACCGCCAGCATCTTTCCAGCTTTTCGCGGTGTCGCGGGAGGTGTTCTACTACCTCCGTCCACACCAGCTGGCGTCGAATGACTGTGGGGCATTTTGCCGACCCCCTTCATGCCGAAACTTTCTATATCGTTCATCATACTTGGGTCATTTACTCTGTATTTACGGTTGCAATGCGGTTTAATGCGGTGTTCTCTTAAAAGGGGACAATCGATATATCTATATTATGTCATCATCTGCAATGAGACAATTATGACAGGTAAGAGATTATGTTTAAATATTCCATGACGAAGAAATTGAGCCAGAAAAAAGGATTAAAAGTATACGACTAATCGCAACAAAAAAAATAAGAAAAAAAATACTGAAATGACAGGAATGACAAACTCGAGTGAGCTCGTTGAAAGCAAAAGACTTAATTATGTAAACAGGAAATGGACAATCACAAGGAGCCGCACGGTGCAGAATCACGCACATGTCAGAAAAGTGAAAATACAATGGAAAGTATTTGAAAGACAGCCGCAAAACGTCCTTTCTCCGATCTTTCTCAGTATCGGGCACACGGCACTGTTTTCATATAACACTCGTAGCGTCGCACCGCATTTCCAGATAAAGGGACACACCGGAGAGCCGTTCAAAGAGAGAAGGAACAGAGAATCCGCGAGCCAATTTTACCCGCGCGTCTCTCGAGCAAAGCGGAGCGGACACTCCGGCGGCGGCGGCGGCGAGTCTCGCCTCCTATTCCCGACGCGCTGCTCCACTTTCGGCTGTCACGCGTCGTACACGCGTCTCTTTAAAAGCGCATCGATTCATTTCTCTCACACGCGAGTCGCCGTTGGCCGGATACGCGAGACGACGCGCGACGGGACGTGTGTTGTAACTCGGGTGCCCGTCGTTATCTCACCCGATCGTCGCGGAGAACTGACGGTTGAGCGTGACGGTGTGTGTTTACATAACGCGCCACGACGAGCCGCGGTTTATCATTATAAAAATCACGCGGGTTTCCCCGCGACGACGACGCTTCACGGACGCTTCCTCGTTCCGTATCGCGCGTCGCGTCTTCGCGCCTCGCGCGATTAAATCCCGACGACGACCGTCCGAGACGAGATCCGGTCCCGAGCGAGGGGACCTCGGAGTCCGAGACTCGGACACGAGGAGCGAAAGGGCCGAGAAAGAGAAAGAGAGAGAAAAAAAGAGAGAGAGAGAGAAACGCCTCTCGCGATTTCCAACTCCGACTGGAGCGTGGTGAGGATCGAGCGAGGGACGAGAGGCGCAGGAGAGGACGCGTGTTTTAATGCATGCACGCGCTCGTTCCCCGCGCGCTGCGTTTACGCTTTCGCCTCGCCTCGCGCGTTCATGGGCACACACCCGCCCGCCCGCGCACAACCCGTCCGCGTATAAGTGCGTGGTCGTCGTAATTGCGAGTTCCTCGGCGCGGCGTACCGAAAATGGAAGCCGACAGCTCGTCGTCGTCGGGAAGGAGGCTCGAGAACGGAGGCCCTTCGCGCGAACTCTTGCGAGCTACTGCTTGTTATGTACACCGTGAGAACAAATCGCGGAGCGAAGATAGGGAGAGGCGAGAGAAAAAGAGAGAGAGAGAGAGAGAAAGAGAGAAGAAAAGATTGGCTGGGCGATTTATTTCGTACGTACGTCCGCCGGGCCGCTGGTGGCTGATGCGCCCCGCTGCCAGCATGCCTCGACACGCGTCAACCAGAGTTCATTGATCACTGAGGCACCACCGCTGCGTCCGCCGGCCGCTTCCGTCGACCGCTACCGTGTTGTCCTCCTCGCGGTTGCGGCGGCGGCGACAACGACGACGACGACGACGACGACGATGACGATGACGATGACGACAACGGGAGGGAATGCGACGATCGCGTTTCGTCGTTAATGGGTGGCGGTGCTACTCGCCGATCTCGGTGCGGCGCCGCCCGACGTCGTAGGTGCGGCGATATGTGCGCGACGATGCTCGACCATCGAGCGCATACGAGAGCCCCGAAACGGAGTCATCACGTATAGATACGTGCACAAGTGTACATAGATATGTGTATACTGCACACACAAAACACACACACACACACACCACGCGCGCGCGCGCGCGCGCACGCACGCACACTCACGAGACGGTGGAGACGACCGCGACCGACCGCACGACCGACGTCTAAGTATAATATTTCCCGTCTAGACGCGATTTGCGCGAGACGCACAGTGGCGCTCAAGGATCGTGGGCATCGCCATTATATATTTACGTTACGTCTCCGTCTTCGTCCTGTTGCGCTGCGTTGCGTTTTACACGTCGCGTCGCGTCGCGTCGCGTTGCGTTGCGTTGCGCTGCGCTGCGCCGCGATGCGTTCCGCTCACCGCCTTCCCGTCGCTCGCCCGCTCGCGATCGCGCCGCAACGTAGGGCCGGTCTACCGAGGGCGCGACATGTACGAAGGGCGGTGGCACACCGGTCCCGCGAGCCGCGCGTCGTGACATCTGACAGCCGCGTTCGACAGGCCGGACGATTTTACCCGTCGAAGGACGCGCATGGAATGGCGATCAGGATTATACGCGGGTAAATTATTTTGTCACATAATTATTATCGAGTACAGAATTCTGCGTTACTAACCGATGATTAATAGGTTTTTGCTCGATCGGTACCATTACCAATGTAAAACAGCTATATATTGATTCATTTTTTTTTTATCACTTGCATGGATAATCAAACTCGAGGGATAATAATAAAATTGCAATTTTCAAAAATGAAAATATTATCAAGTTTTAAATATACGTACACGTGTCTACGAAACATCATCGTGATAATAATTTTGAAATTATTATTATGTTTTTAACTATAATCATCTATAAATTTTCCATAAGGAATATTAATTATTGTTTTTAATAGTTATATTTGTTGGGGGGAAGGCAGGGGAGGGGAAAGAGAGATGTCGCTTATTTGTTACAAGGACGACATAATTAAAAAATTGTCATCTTTTAATTGTTTGCAAAAAACGAGAAGAAAAAAGAAAAAAAGAAAAAGAATTTTTATTCCTTTGTATTATAATTATTTTATTATATAGTTATCATTATAATTATTATAATTATTTTATTATATAATTATACCGAAATTATATTTAGAAAATTAATATTACAAAATTTTAATGATTCAAAAGAATTAAACTGATTTTCTGGAAAACTTTGTTTTTCGAATTATGTCGTTGCAGTAGTCACAAATGAGCGATATAATTATTACATGGATAAATAAATTTGAATGTTAAAATTGTCGTTTTAAATAAAAGTCGAATATATTATATTAGTGTCGTCGATTTTATATATATATATATATGTAACCTCTATGAAAAACATCAGGCTAATCATATATAGAATTAGCACTACATTATAAACTATATTTATCTGAATTTTGGCAGTTTACGAGAACTTCCACACAATCTATAAGATCGATCATTTTTTATATCATATCTTATCAATGGTTGCAGGTACGACAAAGACGCTTTTAAAACAACATCCTCTATATATATACATACAGGGTGTCGTTTATTATTCATCCCGTGCGTTCGTATTTGCTGGTCCAATCGTATCCGGTTTTCAGCAGAGATCAGCAGATAAATAATAGAAATAAAATTTTTCTTTTTTTAATACACTTATATATGGTACAAGAATTATTTCAACGCCGTTGAGGGAATGTTGATGATTGGTATTGAAGGCAAGGAATGTTTAAAGAAAACCAACTAGTATATAATAGTATAACAATGTATGTATATATATAATATATATATATATAGAGCTGCAGTTTTATTTATATATATACATTTTCTTATATAAGTATTTTATTATTATTAGTATTATCATCTGAGAATTAATATACATGTAAAATTTTCCTTGCGTATCTCATTGGCTTGCCCATGGGGTGTGTCTTGAATTTAAATGAAAGAATATCATTTATATTCGCGTGCACCGACGTAAAGTCCATCACTCCTTTCTGTCTTTTACACGTCTCCGCTTTCTTTTTGTTTTTTTTTTCTTCTTTTCTCTCGTTTTTCTTTCTTCCTAACGCAGTTACACCAGCTAAAGATACTCTGCCGTCTAACATGGTTATTTCCTAAGTTTCGCCCATTTAATATTCATGGCTTAGCGCGCTCGTGTGATTACCTTCGTAGATTACAAGTGGGGGGTGCGCAGAAGACTAAACAGCTTGATGGTACGATCGGACACGCTTATTTTTTCGCATTCTACTCCGTTAATTTTATATCATTTTATTTCATTCTTTTTTTTTTTTTATTACGACTAAATAATCGAATACTTTTTGACACATTGGAAGTAATGCTTGCTATACCAAAATCACCGCTTCGCGAGTTCGCTTCATGGACTGCTCCGCCTTGCCTTCTCACACGTATCTTTATATCGTATTCTGTGTATATACGGCGTCGTATCTCGTTATCTTGTTCTTTGTGTTTTTATCATCGCGATTAGAATGTGCTTTGGGATATATTCGTTCGCGCGGGTCTAAACTATTCCGGAGATTTCGAAAATAAATCCCCCCATCCTCAGCCTCTATATTCACTTCCGTGACTCTGCTATTCTCTTTGGTACGTGTATAAGTATCATCAAGATATTTGGCCAGTCGACGTAATATAATCATGCGTATTATATGTGATCTACGCAACTTTACATGTCGCCGTCGTTATTACAACTTTTCTCTCGTGTAAGAATCTGCGATAAAAATTTTCTAACGCTATAGAAAGATCACTTTGAGACGGTCGCGATGATTTGAATATATTATATCGATAATCCCACCTTTCGCGTCTTTATCCTTCCCGACTATCCCTCGCGTCTATATCGCGCCTCCGATCTCGCGGTAATCGGAGGAGAAACTCCTCGAATCTCATCCTGGCGAAAATCCCTTATCTAGAAAGGCTGCTGTGATATAGGTACAGAAACATACCGGTCCTTCTAGAGTTAAATATCTTATTCCTATGCGTCACACATCCATCCGGTTGTTTTCACGAGTTTTCGTTTACCTCATTACGCCACCGTTACGTATAATATTGCAGAATAATATGCCCACACATTTAAAATTCCCGCGATTACACCGGTCGCTAATCAGTCTAAATATAGAAATCTTACGTCAAATTCCAAGTTTTACTCGCGAAAATGTGAGGACAGAAATTAGATGAGACACGTTTAAAAGTGTAAGAAGATGCATCGAGTGACGAGGAGAAAATACTTTTTAACCCTCTAACGTCGCGAGCGTCCGTAAGATCACTCTAAGAACTTGTTTGACGGCCTGTTTTAATTTTAACTTTATTAATTATATTTGTCTTCTTCTCTTACAGAAATTTAACTGGAAGGTAATGTTCAATTATACTTATATTTTTAATATTAAAAGCCAAACAACAGCGCTTTTAATATTCAAAATTAAATGATTTCCAATATTAAATTTCTGTAAGGGTTCAGAATAAATATCTTGAACGAAGCACAAATTTTTTAGAACAAATAATTAATATTAGTACAAGTATTAAAAAGGAATTTTAGTCTCTTCTGTAAACTGTAAAAGTAAACTGTAAAATTTAAAAAAGTAAACTGTAAAATTTAAAAGTTCCAACGTTAAAGGGTTAACGAACTTTGCTTAACAAGCGCGATAATTCGAGCAAGCGTCCTATGCCTACAAACTCCACGAATGGATCAACTGCGATCCCGCTTCGCATCATCGAGAGAACCAGAATATTCTCTAAATAGAAAATCCCAAAATTTTCAAATATCTCGCACCGCACCGCTCCCGCGATCATCGCTCGCGGGAAAAAAGAGTTCGCGGTAACGTATTTCAACGATATGACTTCTAATTCGACTATAACACATACGTGTTTTTCAAGCCAACCGAAAATTCCAATCCAATATCGGTTATTTCGCGCGCGTTTTTCCTTCCTTTTCTTTCATCTCTCTTTTTAATTTATTACAGAAATGCATTGGCCAACAGACGGCTGGTATAGTGCGTGCTCCGGTCGTTGGTGTGATTTCCAGATGAAACGATACCTTTTTGGCACTTGTCCTATTGCTTCTCTTGTATACATTATATGCGTATATTGCGGAGTCGCGAAGTGTGTTCCGGTGTAACCATGAATATGCCTATGAGTGTGCGGTTGCGTTCGGAAACGTCACCCGAGTCTACCTTAATTAGCCTTGTTTATTCGATGAATGTTCGATGAACTAACGAGAAAAATAAAATGATACACACATGCGCTCGAGATGATGTTTCCGAACGCAGCTTGACGTGCCGTCCTCGTGAGCGACGCGATCGAAGACTGCACGATGAAATAAAATTTCGCCTTTTGGGGGGGGGGGAGAAGATTCTTCAATGGGGGGAGGGCTCACGCACACATTCACCTTATACAAAACGCTAACCCTTAACGGTCCACGTCCGCTTTTATTATTTTTAATCTTCCGCGTTCCAACACACGCGCAAGATATATCGAATTCTTCCACGTAGTATACGCGTGCACCTTCCTACAAGACGACTCTTTCCCCCTCGAAAGGGCGCGTACAACGCGACGGTGAGGGGGAGGGGGGGGGGGCTTATCGGGACCACACGGTGTTAAGTGCCATCGATATTAGACCGTTAAGAGCACTCGATACAAAGTAGCCGCTATAGCATCGTCGAGACTACCGACTATATAATAACAGGGTCTTTTACACGAGTTTACATGAGGTGGTATGTGATAATACGAATACGCATATCTCGCACAGAGTTTATCGATCGATCGACGAGTAATAAGACATTAATTAAGATCTATTCTGTACGCTATAAGGAGTGAATGAGTTGAATGAATGACGTGTGGACGTGCATATTTTTCTTGAGTGAGTGCGCTAAGAAAAATGTAATAAACGTTTCACAATTACATACTTTTTGAGGAAATAACCCTCGATTTTTTTTTTCACAGATTCGAGTTCTTCCGCGCGTTTCGCATTTACAAATTGAGCCTCTCGGAAGGCAAATCCTCGATCGAGTCGACTCTTTTTGTCAATTTCTCGACGCCAAAGCGCGCGATTAATTTCCATCAATTTTCTCTGCCCTTTTTTTTTTAATGTCGCGAAGTCGATCGAACTTCCGAGAGGTTCGATTAGCGCTCGACGTAAAAGAAAAAAAAAGAGAAAAGCTAAGGTATTTTCTCTCTTTCCTCTAGCTTAATTCCACGTGTCCTCCCGGGCTATATAATTCGCGTTCTCTAACAATAAGTGTGTAAATGCACCGCGTTTACGCCCGCTCGGGTCGCAGAGAAAAGCGATCCCTGAATTATTCACTTCGTATAAGCGCGCGCACTTCAACGATCGCGGATAGCACCGCGCATTGTGCAGCGCTCCTTCGCGTCGCCTTTGATCGCCTTTACGTGAAAAAACGGGGATATCGCCGCAGAGGATTCGACAAAGTATATATCCTGCGTTACAGTGCAATTCTCTAATTCCACACAAGGAGTACAACAGTTATCCGAATAGCCTAATACATGACTTATATAGTACTGCTCCGATTCCGCTATTACATCGTCCCCGCGTACGCCCTGCGTTCGCCATTCGAACGGGAGTTTCGCGCAAACATCTGAAATATATGTATAATATACCCGACTGTTACAAACGTATACATTCTTGACGTTCTTCCCGTGAAACCGACGCGGACGATCTGTACATTAAGTACTCCCGTTGAATTGTACACGCGCGTACGCCCCAAGTTACTCCCCATGTCGCAAACTACCCACACGGTATCCATTTTTATAATCAGAACGCACCTTGGCTGTCTTTATGAGGAATAGGTGAATCTCAAGAGAATCACCCCGCCGCGTATGTGAAATACATCGTGCTTCGCAATGTGCAGTTGGGCGTTCATTTATGGTAAATCTTATGTCTCGATAAAATGTCAAGAGAATACACACATATATAAAAATATATATATATGTACAAAGGTCAACAAAGAATATATAAATAATAAAAATACTTTTTTCACAAGTAAAGCTCCTTAGAGTCTCCCTCTTCAATAATAAGTAAGGGCTCTACAAATTATCATGATTTTTCGCGTATTAAAACAATAGTAACGTCGCCAATAACTATCGCATTTTCTTAACAAGTAATAAAATTTACGACAAGATATGTTCTAACGTTTGACAACAAAACTTCCAAATCTTTGGTGGTGCAAGATCATTAGCGGGAGGTAAGATTTGCGACGAGAGGTATCTCGATTACCCGAGGGACCGTAGTGTTTCCAGCCGAAAGATTTGACAGATTAAATGTGCGGGACGTGGAAGGTGAGCGAGCTGATGTGTCCCCGGGGGCATTCCTTCGCGCTGCTTCCGCGCACGAGGATTCACTTCGAAAAATTACTCGGAGTACGCGGTAAGTTATAACCCCGCGAATATATATATATATATATACGTACCCTTCAATTACTAATACCAACGCGCGGTTGGCTTGTACGCTAATATAAGTTCGTTCTAATTTTTTCCACTGCGGAATCAATAATCAAGATAAAAAAAATACATACGTACACGTGTGAAGAGCAATCGATTCGTTTCAATTAGTTTTAGAACCGATCCTTTATAGAGATTTCGTAAATCGTCCCCGATAAGAAAGCTGTAAGATAGAAATTAGCAGCAGCGGGGGAAATATATAAAATACGAGAGACAGAAAGGGTGACGGTATCACAAGAATATCCAAACATTTTGGTAAATTAACACAGTATTAGTCGCGGAGCCTCTCTTTTTATTCCCCGGAGGATATTTCTTTATAAAATTATCCTTTGGAACAGAACTCGTGACCCGTTTCCGCACTATACTTACAATATTGATTGCCACTCTCTAAAAGTAGTATTATAACGCATGTTATAAAAATATCAGGAGCATTAACATTCTAATAATGACATTAAAAAGTCTCTACTAGATCTAGAAGTAATGATCTAAGAATAAAATTAAAGTCACAAACGATTTTTCCGTCGAACGAAACCGTTCCCGATTCCTTGGAATGATATCGAAACAATTGCAACAGTGGTATAGTTAATTTTGGTTATAGTGTAACTTTGGTATAAATTCGTGTAAAACGTAATGTAATCACATTGTGCAGGCGTACCCTGATTGATTGAGATTGGGATCCCCATAAAGGCGTAGTAGACATAAGATATACGATAAATGAGCGGATTCCCGCATGTATCGACGCACATATACACTTTACGTCGCTCCAAGGAATACTAAAAATGACGTGTGTTAATTGAGTAATCGGGTCGAGTGCCGACACAACGACTTCCATTGTATTGCCGACACGCAACATTTGTTTTACGCAGAATATACACCTACCATAATTTATTTATATACCGCCAATATGATGCAGAGACCGAGACCGTTTACTTCATATATCTAACTCAACCTTTTCTCGCGAAAAGGTCAGAGTTATTTTCTCTATCCGTGAATTTAGTGAAACGCGTAGAATTCATCGACAAAAGGGAGCTTTCCGTACGTATGCTAAGCCCTATATCAACAGAATCGCGAATCAATTTTCGCGTATCACTTTCCAATTGAATTCTCGCGTTTACGCGAGAAATCTCGGCTGTGCTAAAGCTGTAACAGAATCAAACCTAATCGTTATATACCTTTTGTACGCATATATATGTATAAATATAAATAATATATATAAATATACAATATATATATAATATATATCAACTGTGTTATAAATAATAATATAATTTCTATTCACGATATACGCCGTTCTTTCACTGTCTCACGTATCACCGTGATAAGTAGCCTTACTATTTAGAGTTATCATTTGAACAATACAATGTGTTAACGCTCTCGCGCGAGAATAACAAGTCGTAGAGTGACACCTTCCAACGCTTGTCGCATCGTTACGATCGATTAACATATATGTTAAATGGAATAATTGTTATCGAATCGCATCCGTCTCATCCTTACGGTGTGATGAAAACACGTTTCCCACTTGATTTTCCCCATCTCTTTTCGATTTCCCGATCAAGATCATCAGTTCGCCGTAATTGACTGCCAGACGCGTTTAACTCTATCTATCTATCTCGTAACCTGGCCCTTCTGGTACACCTCAATCGTTTTAAATTGCGACATGTATCTTGCTACACCGCGAGTTCACTGCAACGATTTGGCACGAAGAAAATAAATATCTATCTTATTTTCCGCTGAGTAAATCTGTTATAGGCCGTGCGATTATTCTTCGATCTCGTCTTACAGGGACTACTTGCATGTATATTAACGGGGTATAACGGGCTTCGTAAGTGCAGCGGCGATCAACGGCGAAGGTCGCTACGCTAAAAAAAGGGGTCTGTAGATTCGTGTGTCCCTATATTGTCTATTCAAAACTGCATGCCATCGAGAGTCTTCGGTAGATTAAGATGATCTATGAACGCGAGCTATGAGATTAATATTCACTTGAAATGACGGTTGTACTTTCAACGAGTTCCCGAATGAAACTGGTTTGTCTATGTATGCGTAAATGCGCGTGTGTAATAAGTGGGTGACTGAAGGATGAGCGCGTCGTAACAAATATCTTGTCTTCTAGCATCGTAAAGCATTTTGTACTTACTCCCTGTGCGTACATAATACTTGTCGTCATTAAGAAATTTCGTTATAAGTTAAACATCGTCGCTTCTCTACATACCGGTAAACAGATGCGCTACGTTAATTTTGGTTTCGATTAACGCGCGTCTGACAGGCCCCCACGGGGGATTTCCCCCGGTTACACGCGATCCCGGGGCGATTCCCGGCGGCCCGTCAATCAAAAACGCGACGCGCTAAGAAATTAACTAAGGGTGAGTCGCATCCTTCCTTTCTTTTTTTCTTTTTTTTTTGGCGTTTGTGTCTATTTCTTATCGTAGACTAATTTTATTCTGACTAGAGGCATTGATACGTCTTAATTTGGCATGAAGCGTATTATAAGTGAAATTCACGAACAGCGCTTCCCCCGTTCGAGGAGAAGGAAAACTCGAAGCGATTTTACTACGAAACACACAGTAAAATGGGAGACGGTTCTCGGCTTTTCCGGAAAAGTACCGTGGAATATAAATACACGTGGCAGCCATGTCTCTCTCTGCGAGAGAGAAATTCTTTATACGACATATTTTCCCGTGACAATCTTTTTTCCCATTTTCGTCGTCCCGTGCAATGCAATTTAACGTTAACGTGACTGGAACGACCGTTGATTTACAAAGAGTTCCATCTCTCAAAACGCAAAACAATTAACAACTCCGCCAGATTATACAAATATAATGATAGTATCTAACACAAAGTACTATCGACATCTTTGTCGCGATATCTACGCGATATAAATGCTGTAGATAGGAACAAACCTAGAACCACAGATCTATGTGACGATATCTACAGTGCTATAAAAAGTTTGTACAGTATTACAATATTGTGATGATAACGAGCGTGTAAAGTGATATAATTTCAACTAATGTTATCATATCGCAACAGAAACGTACGGACATCGCGTGAAGGATAGTCGCGTACGTTATCAAGTAACGAAAATAATATGTCGGAGAATATTTAAGTGTAATTTAGCACAACGTGTACACATATATATAAACGTATATATATATATATATATATATACGTTTTTACTCTATTCTTGATATATATATAATTAGTGAAAAGTTCGCAATGCGGGTGTCCCGTGTCTGAAGAACGTTTAAGATTTCGGTACCCACACAGAGACGTTTCTCGTCAGTCTCGCACCTCTTTTAAAATGCATTTCTCGTACGTCTATCAATCGAAGGAAACAACAGGCTCTTTGGATATGATTTTCTTGGCCAAAATCAGCCGTCGAAAAGTAGTGAATAGAAAGTGCAACATTGAAACTATGGAATAGACAGAAAGTAATATAAGACAGAAGAATGAAGAAGGCAAGAGCCGAATTGAGAAAGAAATCAGATATAGGACTTTAGCTACCATTTCTCAAGAAATGTCGCTGTCATTATAGATGACAACGAGTAATTTTTGTGTGTGCAATCAACAGGTGGAAAAGATGGTCTTTCTATCGCGCGCGCGCCTTTGTTACTCTATACGAATCGCATTAAAATCATCGACATAAAAAATGAAAGAGTTAATACTTCCTGGACGACGCAAACATCCGCATGACAGCGTAAAGACGTTCTACATCCATGCTAAAATTTTCAGGCGTTTTTCGGACGTTTTTCGCAATTATTGTGTCACTTGTGGCCTTCAGACGTTCATGGCGTAGTACACCGTGTTCGGCGTATTGGCCGGGGCGGACATGAGACTGGCGTTGGGATCGACGTAAGAGTTGGACATCAGCATGACGTGCGGCGGCGCCGAGTTGACCGGGCCGAGGGTCGACTGCGGGAAGTCTCGGGCGGGCATGCTGGCGGCGCCCTCGGGCACCCCGCGTTCCGTCACCGCGCACGTGTTGACGGCGCGCGGCAGTTGCATCACCGTCGCCGAGGACCCGGCGACGGCCGTCGGCGTCGCCGTCGACGACGACGATACCGGACACGCGAGCGGAGTGTTCGCTGATGCGGACTGCTGCGCGTTGCTGCCACCGTAGGACGGTTCGCAGCTCTTGTTGTTATTACTCATGACCCCGGTGCATTTTAGGGAAGCGGTGGCGGCGGATGACGAGGACGACAGCGCGGACGCCGATGCCGAGGACGACGACGAGGACGATGAGGAGGAGGACGACGAGGACGATGATGACGAGAACGACGAAGCGGCCGCGACGGAGATCGTTTGCGTTTGCATGTCCGCGGCGACGGCGACAGCGCCGGCGGTGGCAGCAGTGGCGGTACCGACGGCGACGGCGGCAGCGGCGCCGCGCGCCAGGTGCGCCGGGTACAACGGATAGCCGTCCTGGTTACTCGCCGGCATACATCTCGAGGGCGCGATCACCGTGTACGAGGGTGGCGATTGCTGCGTCGTCTGCATGGGCACGCGGTACGTCGCCATCTCGCCGTGATGGTGCTGATGCTGGTGCTGATGCTGATGCTGATGATGATGAAATTGCATGGGATGCACCGCCGAGTGCGGCACGGGGGAGAACGCCATGTTGGGCGACCGGAAGTCCTCGGTCTGATGAGGATGTATGTGCAGGTGTAAGGCCTGCTGGCCGCTCTGCAACGGCATGGAATTCGGGCTGGAGACGGACGCGAGCGGCGGCGGTGGCGGCGGCGGGGGCGGGATGGGTGGTGATGTATTTAAATTAGAATGCGACGTGGCGGAACGATTCGCGTTATAGTACAGCGCCTGTTGCTGATTGGTCTTGTTCAGACGAGGATACGGGTACCGCTCGATGTGGCTGGCGTAATTCGGGGAGGAATGCGGCGGCAGGATGCGCTGTATGTTCTGATACGTGGGATCCGACATGCCGTTGTACGGCACAAAGTACATGGTGCGGTAGCACTTGGTGTTGACGGCGGGCACGGCACCACCCGCGGGCAGGACGTTGCAGTGGTAGTTCGCGATCGTCACCGGCGGGTTGCGACGTTGCATCTTCGACAGGGTGTTGGTGTATATCGCACCCGCGATATCGTCGCCGCCGCCGCCGCCGCCGGTCCCGCCGCCAGCACCACCGCCACCGCCACCCGCGATACGCAGCATGCGCGTGCTCGACAGCTGCTGTTGCTCCTGGAAGTAGTGATGACCGTTTCTGTGCTCGGCGTACAGATGCGCGGCGCCGTCGGCGGACTGCGTTCTGACAAACTGCCGCGGTATCGCGTTCTCCAGATAGGTCGTGTGCTCGGAGATACCCTGGATATTCGCCGTTGCCGCCGTGCTCTCGGCGATAGTCTGATATATGTCGTCGATCTGCTTCTGCATCGAGTTTATGCGATTGATCGTGTTTGTGTCCCGCTCGAAGTTCCCCATCGTCGCGTACGCGTCCGCGGGTATGGGGATCGCCTCGTCCACTCCGTCGGCGGTCAACAGGGACTTCGCATCTATCTTGTCGCCATTCACGTCGCAGTACATCGGCCATATCGCGCCAGATCTAGCATCATTATTAGCCGCACCGGCGCAAGATCGCGCGCGATGAATGACCTCATTGGTAGCCTCGTACTGTTGCTTGATACCCGTCACCGACGGCCGTCGATTGAACCCGTAATCGTTGAGCTCATCGTCTTCATCTTCCTCCTCATTGTCCGCCTGCTGCGCGTCCCTGCCGTCGTGATTCTTGACGGCCTTGCCATCGTAATTCTCGGACGATGTATTCACGGCCTTGTCCTCGGAATGGTAGCCGTTAATGAACGTGTAACGGTCCTCCGGCTCGTTGTAGCGGCGTTTTATTCGTTCCATTCTCGACTTGTCCTGCTCGACAAACGCGAGCAATTCATCAGCGGTGTTGTCGCCGATGTCGGGTCTGCTGCCTATCGGTGTGCATCTCGTCACATCCGGCTGACCGGCATACTTTCCGTCGCCATTCAGAGCAGCCTCTATGTCCTCCAAGCTGTACGACGAGTCCGAGTTGTAGCTTATCGATTCACGATTCGTGGATGCCAACATCCTGGAGTCGTTTCGGTAATATTCATCCTGGTTGTCGGAATTGTTAACTGTCACGCAGGACAGCGGCGCCAGACTAGCTAGTAATTGCCTCCGCACGTCCGAGTTCATCTTCGTCAAGGAATTCTTGGACTGGCACTCCTTGACGAGGAGATTTCTCCCGCCCGGGCCTATCCCGAGATCGGGTAGATTCGGTTGGACGTTTTTCTTGTGCGCGAACAGGTCCGTGATCTTCCTGTAGGTGGACTGATTCGGCGGATTGTCCGTCACCAACATTGGCATCCCCATCGTGTTGTGTCCGTGCGTGTTCGTAGAACACGCCGTCGTTGCCATCGCCGCCGCCGCCGCTGCCGCCGCCGCCGCCGCCGCCGCTGCCGCTGTCGTCGTCGTCGACGCCGCCGCTGTTAAGGAGTTCGATCTCGACACCATCGTTATGGCAGTGGTTTCCGCCGAGGCCACGCTCGCCGGCAGCGACTCGCACATAGGCCGTTCCTCGCCCAGCGGCGACGTTCGTATCGAGAGATCGCCGCCGTACTTGGCGTCGCTCGCGGAATTCGTGTTGTCCGAGCTGTCGGTCGTGTCCAGATTCTCGTCGTCCTGATCGACGCACGTGAGCTGCCTGATCCGCTCCTCCAGCGACAGATTTTTCGGCCGCAGACTCTTCTTGCGCGTGTTCACCGTGTTGTACTTGCCGATCAGGCTCCGTCGCAGGGTGTTCCGCTCGATGGACCGCTTGATCGAGCTGGACTCGCACTCCGGCGACTCGTAGGAGCCACCGGGGACCGTCGACTTTTTAACCGCGTCGAACAGCCGCAGACTCTCGGCGGTAATCAGAAACTTCTGCGCTTCGTCTTGAGAGTGCTCCGGGCAGGTCACTTTGTTGGCCGGCACCGGCGGCGGCGAGATGAACTTCGGGTTGGGAAAGAGCTGTCTGACCGCGGAATTCGGCTTCAAGCTGTTGCTGGCGAGGGACACGTTGCCCAGCTTGAAAACGAGGGACAGGTCTTTCGCCTCCTGCTCGCGCGACTGCTCGCCCGGCGCCGTTTGATCGCTGATGCGTTCCGCCTCCGCCGCCGTAGCCGCTCTTTTGTCGTTGCCCGACGAATTTTTGGCGTTTGCATTACCGTCACGATCCTCTGTGACGTCGGTGTCGTTACACCGTGCGGCGAACTGCGCCGCGTTCTCGTGATGAGCGATCGACATCGGGCCGCCTGTCCCGGGACAAAGCGCCGGATTAAAACCGTTATCCTTTGGGGCGTCGCAAATGCTTTTATCTTTGTCCGCATCGGATCGCCCGAAGCAATCCTTCCGCTCCTCCTCGCTAATTTCTCGCACGATGCGCCGCTCCGTAACAGTCGTCATCGTTATTGTTTCCACGAGATAACGATGGTGCAGATCTATGGAACAAAGTTACCGTATATTTGAATCAAACGAGAAAAATAAATGCGCCGCCAACGCAATTAAACTTCGAACGCTTTTCGTTTAGCGCGCGAGATAACATTTCATCGTGTAAAATTTTTATCTCGGATATTGCATGCTGCATCGAGGGCACTGGGTGAGTACGTCGCAACTATAATTTACTCGAGAGCTTATCGCTTTCCGCATCTTTATTTACGGCCATTTCCGAGATTAATGGTCATCAATTATTACACAGTTATAAATTATGAATGTAAACAAATACTCGCGTTTCGTTTCGCGTAATGCCTCATAATATCTTTCAAAGATCGCTAAATGAATTAAACCAATATTATTATAATAATAACAACACGAATAATTTTATTAAAGCGCAAGAGATAAGAGAGGCTATGCACGGGTAAGGTATAATTAGAGAGCACCACCTCAAAATGTAAAGCATCAGCAATGATGTTATACTTACAAACCTAGACTCTTTGCATGCGATTAATATAAAATTAAAAATAATAATAAAATCAATAATAATAATGGTTGATAAAATATTTGTGCGGATTATACAAAAGCTATACAGAAAGATAAAAATAATATTTTAGTAAAAATATTGATACAATTAATATGAATGATAAATAATAATAAAAATGATATAATAAAAATAAATAAAAATGATAATGTGCATGATCAGATATAAAACTTAGCATAAAAAGAAAGAAGATTATAGAGAGAAACATTGACATACATATTATAATTACAGATGTAAGAGAGAGTAAATAATTATAGAGAGAGTAAATGATATATCTATACATAAACAGCAATTAAGGGAAATATTTATAAATATATCAGTGAGACTTAAAAAATAAATACATAAAATAGATACATTTAATTAGAAATAAGAACCGCTCGCGATAAAACGAGAAGCAGCTGATCTGAAAGTACAAAGAGAGAAAGAGAAACAGATATCAGTAGTAGTAATTAGTTAAACTATTTTACAGCAAAATATGAGAAGGCAGTTTGAAATTTAGTGCATTGAAGAGAGTAAGTGAGAGGATAGTAGGTAAGAATTGAAAGCGTGTGTAGCGTTTTCCTGATATAGACGGTATTTGGTGCAATCGAAGGCATAAATAAATGCTTGCCAGCAGGACAGTTTTGCACATTTCTAAAAATAAGTTTCAGAGCACACAATAAAAATACTCGAGCAAATTTGAAATGAAAAAAGATATACCGGGGTGAGACGCCCGAGGCTGTTTCTCTTGCAAATTCCTCTGATTACCGTCGTGATGCGCCGTGTCCTTGCTGCCCTGCGTATCCTGCTCATTCCCACGATCCTTCGCTTGCGATTCGCATTCTGGAACATAAGAGGCAAGATCGAACCCATACGTCTCTAGCTCCACGCCTTTACGCAATTTATGCGCATTATTATGAGACTCCATTAAGCGCGCGTGTTTATTACAGCCTTCATACAATAGAGCTGATATGTGAAACGTATATATGCTATATTATAACTCACTGACGATCTTCGGATAATACGAGATCCTCGCGGAATTCGTTATGCCGCCCGTTAAATCTGCCATATTAATGGAAAGCGCGGAAAGCGGCGTCGTGGCGTTTGATACAAATGCCATTTCTGTACTACAGTATCTCTCGTTAAGACCTCGGTAGAAACTTTATCTGTTATCAGGCATGTTGTATCACGACGTTCCGGCAGATACGCAGAAGAGATATATGCGGTGTGCCAGAAATCCGCGATACTTTCCCTTAATCAATGAGATCGCAACAACTTCCCAGGTGGAAAAACACGTGTCTCTCGTTTAACGGAAATTTCCTCGAACGCCGTTTCCTTCGAGTTTTCTTTTTTGATATAACGTGCATTCACGCTTAAATTACGAGTGAAATTTCTATCGCGAAGAAATATACGAATCTGGTTAATCTCAATGTATTTTCCGAAAATCGTTCACGTGGTCTATAAGTTAAAATAAATTCTGAGCTAAAATAAATTCAGTATAAATAATAAAGTCAAATATAAATTAAAAAAGACACGAATATAAACGCTGTATGTTCATCAGTTTGTAATTGCTCAGCTCTCGTTACGAAATTATGCGAAATCCTAGTGGCAGACTAATTGTCTTTACTTCCCATAATGGAATCTGGCTGTATTTAAATTTTTTTAATGGAATTTAAGTTGTCTTTAATTTTGATACATACTTTGACATACGTTATATTTGATACAAATACATATAATATATTTTGATATTTATTGAACAAATAAATCTAAACGAAAAGAAAAATTCTTTTTAAAATGATTTGATGATATGTGGAGTTTTTAAAGGAGAGAGAAGAACAGGGGAAAAGAGGGAGAGAGAGAGAGAGAGAAAAGGAGAGGACTTCTCACCTAAATGTTATCAAAATCAAAGGAGTTTCCTCGTTAGAATAGTTACTGTTCTAACCGAGCGATGGCCATCGATATTTAATGTACTTTCAAAGTCGCACCATGTGTATCGAGCGATTGACAGCTTGCATAACTTCTGCAGTTTCTAGTCTAGCATACATTAATAGTAACGCTGGCGTACATATTTCCTATTGTTCTAGTGCTTCACGGTATATCGCGTCACTTACCGTGTCGCAAGAAAACGAAGCTTGTCCCGGACTTGCCGAACGGTTTGCAGCGGAAGAATATCTTATGTCCCGGAGTGTCGCGATCTCGCGCAATTCGAAAATCACGAGAGCCAAAGAAGAATGATCTTTTGCTTCAGCATAAGTTCAAAAAAAAAAAAAATATATACATTTAATGGTTTAAGTTGTATATTTAATGGACATAAAAGCGCGTTTTAAACGTACAATTTGTTTAGTATAATCACACACTTAGACACATATTTGTGTCCAAGCTTGGATGTCACACGTGACTTATTAAAAAATGTCACATTAGGAGACTATGTATTTATTTTTTTTCTCATTCATATGTATCGCAACCTGTTGCAAATTTGAAGCACGCACGAACAATGAAAATTCTACATTATAAATTCTTACATGTCACGCACGTTTTAATAAATCTAATATTTATGTTGAAAGTTTGTTCAACCCATGTGCGGAATGCGTGTGTGGATTATGTAAAATACAATTCCTAAATATCTACTTTAAATGTCTTTTATCCTTCTTTGTAAACTTTGAGAAATTTTAAAGCCCCTCGGGCCTCGGTCGTTAATTTAACGCCTACGCGATGCCTGCTGGAAAATTTAGGTATTCTAGTTTCACGGCATAAAACGCAAACCGTTTGGTTAGAAATATAAGTGTTCTTACCGAGTATCTCCCGGGGAAGTACCGGAGTTACGCTAGGCCGCGCTTCCGGTGAGCGTTGATACGCGAATAAACCTATACTCCATATCTACATACATTGGCATTTTGTGTGACCGCGATTATAGATCTAAGTTTGATCAGAGTTTTTAATCGATTAACATATTAATATAAACGCTGCCGGCGTTTATAATAAAAATGTTATTTGAATGATTTTCCCTCAGAGAGAGGGGGGGGGGGCTATAAGTGCATCCTACGAGTTTTTTTAATGCTGATAAAGAGTCCGTTGTCGCTTAAAAAAAAAATATTACGGCACACTGCCTGCGCGTTAGCCGTCGTTTAAAAAAAGCGAATGTTATAAGAAACTATTATGTTAATAGTATCGAAATAGACCGATTCTGAATATTCATAGATATTTTTCCCTTTAAAAGACTCTCCCCTTGGTATTCTAAAGAATGCGCATAAAAATCCTGCTATGTTCTTAAACGGTTTACCAACCGTGGCTAGACTCATGAAAAACAATACCATTATTATATTCGCATCCTGTGTGAAGGGATATCGTGGGACTGTTCCTCCGGTTATGTGTGAGAAAAGAGCTGAGCAACGATGCAATTCTTCTAATTTGCACCTTTCCATTAAAGCTGATAGATTCAACTCCAGATACGGTAGCATCATTACTTTCATCATGCGTGCTAGTGTAGCATAAAGCATTATGAATTATTAGCATATTGTTTCCAATTATTGAACTCTATTACTGTACAGCAGTACACATAAGTGCGCGCTCGCGATACGTTATCGCATTTCGAAATTGTTCCCTTCGCGCAAAAATGATCTTTCACGCCTGCAGGCGATTTTGTTAAATGGTATACAAAAATTATTATTTTTTTTATGTAATTGATCTTTATAAAAAGAAAATTAATATCTCCGATTTATCAAACAATTTTTATTCGAATTCTACTATCAAATAACATACATTTATTTTTAATCCTGCGACACAGAGAAACATTTTCAGGAAAATAGCATGTCCTAAATAAAAAGCGAAAAAATATAATAGACTAATACGCATGCAACAATTACAAATTGATACGAGCATTTAAAACACGAATAGTTTTAGATTTGATTTGCAATTATATTAACAATGAACATAGAGAATGAAGAGCTTATTTAAAGCTTATTCAAATTCATGAAATTTCACTAATTTTGCAATAGAGATACTTTTTTACAACAATTGGATAAAAAAATTGGATTGATAACATTCTTTCCAAAAGAATTTTTCTATAAAGAATTCAAATACCGTCAACAGAAATCGAGGACTGTTGTTCAAATATTAAAAATTATAATAATAAATTTTCAGCGAAGAGCGAATAATTTCTAATTTCCGAAGGAATTATTTATAGCGATATAAGAATCGGGAAAAAGGGAGTAACAACGCATGCAGTCTTATATCCGTTATGATTTTGTACCGCAAAAGATTAATGTTGCGAGTGTGTTTTAAGTGAATATTTTACACGGTTGTTGATAATAACGGGCTCTAATATTAGACTTTCCTTCCTTCTCTAATCAGCGATGAGCGACGTATCAAAAGTTTCTGGATGTTGAAGTTTCAAGTGTGGGCTACGGTTTATAACGTTACGTTAAGCTTTTGTGTTACGCGACTGCTCGTTGCAGAATATTACAAAACTGTGTTCTCTTCTTCAGTAACAAGAAGAACATTTGTACGGCTCTTCGGCGTTACTTCAAATTTATATAATAAGCTTGCATTCCGCATTTTTAATACAATAGCAATTTAATTGATAATGTAATTTTTAATAAGAATAATAATTTTTAATTGTTATCTTTATTTTATTTTGTACATTTATGTTTATTACTAGTTTTAACGTTGTTACTCTTCGTATAATGAAAAAGATGAAAATAAAGTTTGCAAAACCTGTAAGAGACTTACCCAAGTAGCACGCGATATTTTTACTAAAATATATTCTTATTCAATTATAGAAGAGATTATACCTTAATCTTCAATTATCTAAATGAGATCTGGGGGCTGAAGGGATCCGCTGAGCAAAGTTAATTCCCTACTGGGGAAATATTTATAGATATAGATATATAATTCTTCGTCGGATTCAAAATCCCATATTGGCAAAATTGTAATATTCAGTAACTCCACCAATTTCCGCAATTACTCGCCTGTAATTGCTTCTAATAAAAAAAAAATTGGCTTTTCCTTCAATATTACTTGTCGTGTCTAAGGTAATTATAATCGACAGATGAATTAAAATTTAAAATCAATATAAGCGTACGCGCGTAATCGTCTACGTGGGGGGAAAAACGTCGTTCTAAAGAAGATATTTTAATTTCGTTACGTACACAAAGAGCCTATTCTCTTTCCTCCGCGTACATCGCGAGAGTCGAAGGAAAAGAGAGGACGGCGTTGGGGGGGACGTTGCGGAAGTTACGTCTTCCGTGTCGTCCGAGGTATTAATCGAGAAAATAACTAAATTAACGTTATGCAACAACGCTAGGCTATCAGTCGGCTTACCCGCTGCCTGTTGCTGGTAGTAATTGCACTCGGTGCACGATGCGGACGACGAGGCGGCGCGGCCACGCTGCTCCGTCTCGTTGGCGATCTCGTTGTCGGAGTACACGTCTTTGTAACCCTCCGGCGGGCTGAGCGTTTCCTGCTGCTGCTGATCGTGCCGCGGCGGCGGCGGCGGCGGCGGAACCACGGTTCCGCTCTCCCCCTGGGAATCCGCCGCCGCGGTCTCCTTCGGCCGACGTCCTTTCGCCGCGTCCTCCGCGTCCACGTTCCCCCGCGAGTCGCTCGCGTCCTTCCCTTCCACCGCCGATGCGGTAGCCGCCGTCGCCGACACTACCTTCTCCACCACCTTCCCGTCGACGTTCTCCTCCTCGTCCTCCTCCTCCTCATCCCGCTCCTCCTCCTCGTCCTCTTCCTCCTCGCCGTCGTCCGCCTCCTCCTCGTCCTCCTCCTCGTCCTCCTCCGCCTGCGTGTCCTCGCGACCCTGCTGACTCTTTCCGCGGGTCCCACCGCCGCCGCCGCCGCCGCCGCCTCCGCCACCGCGTTGATCCCGCGCGGCGTTCTCGCAAAGCGCCTGCTCTACACCCCTCGCCATCTCGCCGTATCCACCACGGCCGTTGCCGGTGCCGCCGGTGCCGCCGGTGCCGATGCCGAAGTGCAGGTTCAACTCCGCCCGGCACTCCTTGCAGTTACCCAGTCGCATGAACTCGTGCTCCTGGTAGCAGCAGTCGCAGTCCTCCTCGTAATCGGCGCAGCACTCCTCCTTGATCAGTATAATGTAGTCCGCCGCGAAGAACTCGTTCAGCTTCTCGTTGATCACCACGCGATGCTTCTGCGACTTCGCCTTGGTCTGGCCCGGCTTCTTCAGCAGCGACTTGAGCGTCTTCGCCGCCGGTTCCGCCGGATGTTGTTTGTTGCCGTGTTCCTTCATCGTCGGTGCTTCTTTCCGCTTTCTCTTTCCCTCTTTATCTCTTTCTCTCTCTCTCTCTCTCTCTCTCTCTCTCTCTTTTTGTCTCGCTCTCTCTCTCTCTCTTCCTCTCTCTCTGTCTTACGCTTCCCTCTATATTTTTCACTCTCTTCTTTTCAGTGTCATTCACTTATACTGACATGTTGTACATCCTTCCATTGTATACTTCTTCCACAGTTCTGACAGGTCTCGCCCCTCAGGACAATACACGCAGTGAGCGCTATACCTTTTTTTTTTCTCTTTAACTCCCCCACTCTTTTTCTTTTTCTCTCTCTTTCTCTCTCTCTCTTTCTGTCTTCCTGCTTCGTCCTTACCACCGCCACCTGTGCTGCGGCTATCCTATCCCTCGCGCTCGCGTTCCCACGGCGGCGACGCGCGTATATACACACTTTCTCGCGCGGTCAACGATACTCCACCTGTCTATACGCCGCCGTTATCGTTCATCGTCGCGTCCGACAATCCCCTCGTCGTCGTTCGCATCAGTCGCGCGGACATCGACGTTCGCCACCGTCGTGTCGGACACGCATGGGATCGGCCGACGTTAAGTAATCCTGCCGATGTGCGGCCGCAACATCCCTCCCACGCTGGCGCGGCGGCGTGATGATCGATGAACCCCGCGGAGATCACATGCTTCGACTCGGCTGCCACTCTTCTTCCCCGTCGGGGGTTGCCGCGCGACGACCGATCACCGAGCTATACCAATCCTGCGTCTCCGACCGTCTCGTCGTCGTCGTCGTCGCCGTATAGATGTGCACACGTGCTCCTTGGTGAACGCGCGCGACGCGCGTTCGCTCTCTCGCGTTGCGTGCGCGAGGAAGTCAGTCCGGCGAAGGCCGTGCGCCTATCGATCGAGGCATGCTGGAGCTTTTCTTCATCTCGCGGATAATCGCACCGCTCACGCGTCCTGCCGACGACGCGTCCTCCCGACCGACCGTACGTGCTCTCTCGCGAGTCGCGGCGCGAGGCCGAGGAGAACGTGCGACGGCCGCGCTCTCGGGCACGGGAGGATCCCGATTACCTTGACGGGATCTCAAGGTTACTATGATACGTCGTCGCCGCGCGATCGCGACGACGTTCCATTGAGATCGTATACAGGCGATCGTATATTAGGCGAGAGACGACGCGTGCCGAATCGAGGGCGAACGAAATGCGCGGCTGCGAAGCGTCGATTCCGATGATTTCCACCGAGGTACCGAGGAAGGACCCCTCGAATTCGCGCGTGCGGCGCGCGGCCGCCCGAAAAAAAAAACTCCCCGCGAAGAGATCGGATTCCGCGGCGAAGCGAAACGTCGCGAGGATCCCCGACTAGTCGAGTCCAACCGCGGTCGCCGTCACTCCTCGCGTTTCCTGCAATTATCCCCGAACGCCTCTATTTTCTCTCTCTCTTCTCGAGCGCGCTCTCTCTCTCTCTCTCTCTCTCTCTCTCGTCTCGCCCTCGAGTCCTGGTTTAGCACCTTTCACGACGCGAATTGTAACGTGCGCGCGTAAGCGACCGCCTCTCTCTCCCTTTCTCTCTCTCTCTCTCCTCTTTCTCCCTTTCGCGACGTCCCCGTTTATCGATTTCGCGTGACGAATGCCGAGAAGACCGCCGACGCACGCGACACGACTCCGCGATCGGTCCGTCGCTGCCCGCGACGACCGTTGTACTACTGCCACGAAGCCGATCACTCTCCGAGGGCTTCCCTCCACCGCTGAAGAAATCACGCACGAGAGTAACGTGAGTCCGTCGGTGGGACGACTGCACGCGACCGCGGTCGCGCTACTCTTGCCATCGTCGTCGTCGTCGTCGTCGTCGTCGTCGTCGTCGTCAGCGTCAGCGTCAGCGTCGTCGTCGTCGTCGTCGTCTTCGTCTTCGTCCTCGACGAGATTCCTCGAGAGTCGCTGTCGAGCAACGCGAGTAAAGTCGAAACGGTCCGCGGGACGAACACACAGGAGGATCAATGAAAGCGGAGTAGCCTCGCTTGCTCCGGTCGCACGACTAGTATTACTCCTCTACGAGCGACGTCGGTCAGCGAGCGTGTCGTTCGTGACGCGCCGACCGAGACTGCCACTGTCACTACTG